ACACCCTCTCTCACACACACTGCCTCCCAGGTCTTCTTTCGGCTTCTTCTGAACAATGGCTAGGGTGTTCAAAAGATGATGAGTTTAGTACTCTTCTTGAAAACTACTAAACTCACAATATAAAGCTATACATAAATCTGAGCTGTCACCTATTGTTCCAGCTAACAGCTGATCCTCAATCAGGGAAAAATGACAGGTGAAAGAGAGGCAGGCAAGTTCTGACAGATGGTTAAACATGTGTTTTAGATATACATAACCAAAATTAGAATCATAGATTCGTAGAATTGGGAGGGACCATTTAAACCATTGAGTTTCACCCCTTGCTCGGTGCAAAAATCCAAATTAAAGCATCCATAATAGATAGCTGTCCAATGTTGAACACACCCCATTAGGAAGAATCCTCCAGTCCCCTGAGTAAGTAGTTGTAATTGGTTCTATGATTGAACTGTTCTCACTATTAGGAAGGGGTTTTCTCCCGACATTGAATTGGAATCTCTCTTGCTGTAGCTGGAATCTATTGTTCCTGGTCCTGCAGTGTGGAATGATAGAGAATATCTCTTCATCTCCCTCTATATGACCTCCTTTCCGCTCTTTGAAGAGTGCTGTCCTATTCCCTCTCAGTCCAAGGCCAGCAAGTACAAAAGGGAGAGCACACCAACAGGCAAAGGGCATAAGGCTGCTTTGCTATTCGCTTCTCCATGTGGTGGCTCATTAGGTAGACTCCCGGCAATCAAGTCAGACCCTGAAAATGTGGGAATTAGCCGGAACATACAAAGCAAGCAAGAAATTCCTACTGGGCACTCATGGAGAAAAACTCTTAAGACTTTTTTTTTTTTGCGCAAGGCTAAAGGAGGGTCTAGAGATAAGTTTCCCTATAGAGCGTTATAGTAAAATTGCCATTAAGCAGCCAGAAGAACAGTACCATCCAATAGGAAAGAACAAAGGAATAAAATGGGTCGCTGCTACATGAGCAGAATGCCTGCTGCTAATAGCGGCAACAAGAGCTCTAGGCGGCGAGGCCATTAAAGACATACAGGGCTGCCAACCCATGGCTCAGAAATCCAAACCAAAGAGCTCACAAATGCAAAATGAGTTTTTATTACAGTGGCTTCCTTCTATGCAAATATTATTTCATCGGAAGGAAGACACTGAAAAGTGCTTCCTAGAGGCAACTTTTCCAGTTATACGACAAAAGCCAACAATGAATCCCATTATGTGACCAGTTTGGTTATGATTTGACTGAAGCTAACAAAAGCAGTTCTAAATTGGAACAAAGCATCTCTTGCTGCAGTGCTCTTCCTCTGCACTGGGTTCATTTTCCTTCAGACCATTGCCACAGATTTAAAACCACTTAGCAGGATAAAATAAGGATGCTATTACACTTGCTGCCAGATCCCAGATTAGCTTGAAACATCAAGATAGTCTCTTAAAAAAATCACAAAAGTCATAACAGAAGGATGAACCAAAAATAGAGAACATTCACCGCCAGAAACAATGTCAACAAAAACAGAGAAGTGGGGGACACCACAGTATGTGTCACCCACATGCCCAGACACGTTCAAAAATGAAATTCAATACATTTCCAGGGTTTTATCATTTATGATTTGCAAGTCAGAATATTACTGTCTTTTTTCCCCTCTTCATGTGGGCAAGAAACATTATTGTTTGCTTTTATTTTTGTTTTGTAAATGGCAGTATTCTACAAATATTCCTACAAATATTGAATGGAATGGCCAGAAATATTCTATGAAGAATATAGTAAAAACCTGTGCCATATTTTTGCTCCATTTTGAATTGGGAGCAAGGGAGATAGCAAGAGAATATTTTTAAAAAAATCAGTATAGTGCCTAATCATGCCATCATGGTTGAGGCCAAATGGATACTAGTTGATGAAGGTAAATCGTAAATGTAAGTATGAATGAATACACCTATTACTATTAAAAATTCCAATCTATAGGAGAAATAAAAGAGGTGACTGCCAATTTCTATCCTATAAGCTTGTTGAGCCAAGTTAGTAAAATGTATACCAAACATCTGCAGGTTAAGTTCCTATATTGGTCTGAATCTGCATCCATTCTGAGTGATGAACAGGTGAGGTTCAGGGAAGGCAGATTTGTTCTAGATCATACTCCAGTGCTCCAGCATCTGATGGAAAAGTATTCCTTTAGATGCAGTTCATCCCCATTTGCAGCTTTCATTAATCTGAAGTCTGCATTTACTTGGTTTCCAGGTTAGCTTTGGTATAAACTTAAACATACAGCTATTAACAAACATCTGCTCATCTAACCAAAGAAATATCTCTTAGTAAAGGAGTAAGACAGGGCTGTGTGTTTCCACCAACATTGTTTAATTTTTACAAAAATTCATTGGAGGCCAGCTTAAGCAGCTTAGACTAAATTGGCCCAGTGAGATATTAATTTACTACTATATACTGATGAAGTAGCAGTTGTGTCCTCAACTTCCAGTGGACTTCAAATATCCTTGGGTGTTCTTTTACTTCCCTATAGTAACAAAGATCTAGTCATAAACTTTTCCATGTCGATGATCCTTGCATTTTCCAAACATCCCACATTACAGAACTGGTAATTAGGAGGGCACACCATCGGACAAGTCAAAACCTTTAAATACTTAGGGTGGTTTTCCAACCTCTGGAGACTGGAATGCCCATCAGGACTATGTATCCCAGAGGGCTCAGACAGCAGGCTCAACTATACAAACTTTCCATTTTAATAAGGCGTAGTTTACTTCAGCTGCTGCTAAGCAATTTCCAGCTAACACTCACACCCAGTTATTGTATGGGGCTTAATTAGGACCATACCATTAGATGGCAATATAAGAGAAAGTCCAATCCAAGTTTTTGACAAATATTTTCCAGGCCCCTCTCTATGTCCCCAATATGATGCTTTGGTAGAAGCGGGAGTCATAATTGTATGTGCTGCCGAGAATCACATATGTGAGATGGGCAGCTATATTAGATAGATAGATAGATAGATAGATA